TTTCCAGTCAAATTTTTTCTAATGCTAGCAAATGTTAATCGCACTGAATGTAATCGATTTGAGTCGCAATCGGTTGTTTTGCTTCTTGTTGAAGCTGATCAATCGGATATGTTCGAAAATGATTGCAAGAATGTAGATACAATGTTGGTAGCAGAGGTTTGCTGAACGGTTATTTTTCTGGAACAGTTCCGGTTCACTTTGCGATTCGGTTCCAAAAGTAACATGTTACTTTTTTATTTTTTGCTGAAAAATTCGCAAAATTTGGAAAGTGGAACTGCGGTTCAGATTACACGTCTGGAACACTGTTACTTTAGTGGTTCCGTTGCTTGAGTTTGGTGTGTTTTTCTGGCGTTTAGGACTCACCAGTTCCACCAAATTAAACGTGTGTTTTTTCAGGGAAGGATTTTGTTGGGGAATACACTAATAAAACCACCCGCTAATGGTAATAATCATATTTATTGACAAAACGTGTTACAGATACCTAGTTTGAATTATCCACAATAAAATTTCGATTAAGTACAAAAAGCGTTGTACGAAATAAGTACAATATCACACAAGATTATTTAAGTTCCTATCTGGAAACATTTGCTGGAACCGTTGGGGGGTGATCATGAACTGAACAGCGCGAGTTTCTAATGTAAAAACTCGTCTGGCTTCGCTGGTTACCCCTTTATGGAGCCCAGCAAAGTCCTCGTCAATAACTGAAGGCTTTAAAGCGCGCTTGAACAGCAACAGACAAAAGTGGTCAGTTATTGCTTTTGGTTTCTTTAGCAAGCATGGCGGGCTTTTTGCTAAGTTTTGTCTGTCGTTGCAAAGTCCCAATGCGCCAAGTGAGTTGATAATTTGTTAATAACTAACTAATACTAAATTTGCAAAATACTGATAATTTTAAATTATATCCTACCTAACTACTAAATGGAGTACGCGAGAAGACTAAAAAAAAGGACAACCGGCGATTGGGGGCAAAGACAAAAACAGCTAACAAGTTTCTGGTTGCACAATGAAGCAACAAAAACGCAAAATATTATATGATTTTATACAGTATTTGCGATTTTTTTCAAATATGTGCCGCCAGTTGCCCTTTGTTTATCTTGGACTTTTCGGTACCGTAAACCTGAATACCAGAGACTTCGCATGTTTACGAAATCCACTGCGTATTTATTGTTTCTAGTTGTATCACAAAATGAGAATGAGCGGCCTACGTTGCAAAGTAACTGGAAAAATGTACAAACAATTTACATAAGCAGTTTCTTTCACTGTGGAAATCGCGCGCGGCCAAACACCAAAATCAAATAAACGATAAACGATCCTAAAATTAATGGTTTATACAACTGAAACTGATTTTTATTCTGGTTCCGCAGTGAAAGAAGCTGTAAAATTTAAAAACCCTATTAAACGTTAATTTATATGCATAATTTGATCAATCTTAAATATTCATGTTTTTCGAGGCGATTTTGCCAGACTGTTTGATTCGTCGAAGTTGCCCGGAAAGAACCGTAACTTATGGTGATGAGCATCAACACTGTCTAGGCAAAGTGGCCCCAAAAAAGGTTGACACCCGGACATGCGCACATAATTCGGATCACAAGTCTAAAAAGGTTTTCTTTTTGATATAGTTTGGAAGAAATCGTTCTTTTGGTCGGATTTTGTCGGTTGGAACCAACGAGATTTGGTCAACATTAGCTATTTTTCAGCCTAAAAGCGATGGATGATCACTAACTATTTAGTATTTGATTATCAGACGCACATCCACACTGGCCCTAATTGGGGGGCTTTCAGGCTAAAAAACATGTAGTAAAAAGATATTATGCGCAAAATCCCATGGGTGTGCAGGTACTGTATAAAATAATCACGCTAATATCACGTCCACTATAGTCTGATACAAGGCTTAAAAACTCCTTGGGCGCGACGCGCTTCTCACATCTCTAGTAAGAGACTCGGAGAGGGAAAAAAACAGCCAAAGTACCATTATTGCACCATTCAATGCTACTTGAGACACGAATTCGATTCGCCCACGGACTTAATTCGGAAAAACAACCGGTTTCGATTCCATTGACCTTTTGCTAGAGAAAGTGGAAAAGCTGCAACAAATGTCGCACACAAGGATCGTTTCAATCAGTCGCATATAAGAATCTACTTATTATACTCACTCAATATGATTATCTCTACAACAAATTCTACATATTTAAGGGTGTAGGATTTTGTACGCTTGCTTTACTTCCGTTCGACAATTTGCCTCAACAACCTCTTTCAATTTCCCATTGCATCATTTTTACTTCAATTACTAAGATTTCAGCCAATTTCAACTTTGAAAAAGAACAGATTAGTAAAGGAAACTCTGTGTTCCCAAAATTTGCAAGACGTGAAACATGTTCTTCTAAGTTTTGGCGGATATCGCTTGGCATTGGCCAAAAATCGCCAATTAGTCAAGTCAATTAGGCAAAAAACGATTAAGCGAGCGCGCAACGAATAATTCCTTGCAAAATCAGCGAACATTTGCGAGAATGCAATTTTTCGGTAATTTGAACAATTGAAGCGAGTTGCGATCTTTGGCGTGTGTTACCGAAAAAACCCATTTTCAAAAATTCGCCATTTCCAAATTAAAGCAGGTTGAGCAACCGATTTTGTTTCGCTCATGGAAGACACTTTGGGGCTCAACTCCTGAAATTTTAAAGCATATCAAGGGCTCAACTGATTTTCTAGAAATTTTTAAACTTGTTGCTGCATAGAACGGAAAAATTCCAAAAACACTAATTTTCAAAAATTCGCCATTTCCAAATTAAAGCAGGTTGAGTAACCGATTTTGTTTCGCTCATAGAAGACACTTTGGGGCTCAACTCCTGAAATTTTAAAATATATCGAAGGCTCAATTGATTTTCCAGAAATTTTTAAACTTGTTGGTGCATAGAACGGAAAAATTCCAAAAAAGCTTATTTTCAAAAATTCGCCATTTCCAAATTAAAGCAGGTTGAGTAACCGATTTTTTTCCGCTCATAGAAGACACTTTGCGGCTCAACTCCTGAAATTTTAAAACATATCGAGGGCTCAATTGATTTTCCGGAAATTTTTAAACTCGTTGGTGCATAGAACGGAAAAATTCCAAAAAAGCTTATTTTCAAAAATTCGCAATTTCCAAATTAAAGCAGGTTGAGCAACCGATTTTGTTCCGCTCATAGAAGACACTTTGGAGCTCAACTCCTGAAATTTTAAATCAGATCGAACTCTCAATTGATTTTCCAGAAATGTTTAAACTTGTTGGTGTATAGAAGGGAAAAATTCCAAAAAAGCTTATTTTCAAAAATTCGCCATTTCCAAATTAAAGCAGGTTGAGTAACTATTTTTTTTCCGCTCATAGAAGACACTTTGGGGCTCAACTCCTGAAACTTTAAAATCTATCGAAGGCTCAATTGATTTTCCGGAAATTTTTAAACTTGTTGCTGCATAGAACGGAAAAATTCCCAAAACACTAATTTTCAAAAATTTGCCATCTCCAAACCAGAGCAAGTAGAGTCCTGGAATTTTTCGACCTCATGGAAGACACATTGGGGCCCAACTGGTAAAAATTTTAAGGAAATCAAACCGTCGTTTAATTTTACAGAAAATGTTAAACTCGATGTTGCATAGTACAAAATATCCCCAAGCTACTCACTTTCAAACAGTCGCCCACTCCAAACCAGAGCAAGTAAAAGTCTAGAATTTTTCTGGGACTCCATGGACGACACCTTGGGGCCCAACTGGTGAAAAATTGAAGCAAATCGAGAAACCGACCAAATTTTCAAACATTTTGAAACTTGATGCAAAATTCTTCTAAAAAAAATTCGCCAACTCCAAAGAAAATTCAAGTGCAGCCCTGCAATTGATCGCCCTAATCGAGGACACTTTGGGGCCACTTTCAAAAGTGACCGTGTAAATTGTCGAGTTTTTTTCAAAGACGAAAAAACCCGCAACAAATTCTAAAACTGCTTAAAACTCACACTGGACTCACCTTAAAAACTGCGGAAAAAAGTTCCACCCGGTGGAACTTTGCTTAAGCGTCAGGTACAATTCGAAAGTGCAGGCTGTGCCAGGATCGCATTCGATCTTGGCGATCCTGGTGGATGGCAGGGCTCCGTAGGGCTCAAAAACCACATAAATGTGACACCCGCGCAGTCCGCAGGGTTCCGATTCCGCCATGGAAGATATATCGCGAGCCACCTGGAACAAACAGTCCAGATTTCTACAGTTTGCCTACTAAACTAACATTAAGAGGCCGCTGGGGGGACGAAGGACCAAGCTACTCACCCTTCGAAGCAACCCACAAGGCAGATGGACCTCTCCGCAGGAGAGGTGGCTCTTTTTAGCTGCGCGCAGCTCTTGGGCTAAGCGACGGGTAAGGGTGGCAACATTGAACACAACGTCTTCGCTCAGGGGTGTGTCATCGCCGAAGCTGGGAGTAGGCGAAGGTGGTGCCGGCTGATAATGTTCGGAGTTACAGAACGGGTCGTTCGGCCAGGTGTCTGCAAAAAAACACCAAAGTGTGACAACAGCTGTGTCCACTTCGGCTTCTCCACCCCCTAATCCGAACTTTTCGCACTCTAATCAAGCCTAGAAAAGGCCCTTTTCAATCCAGACTCGATCCAAACCAATCCGACTTCGACACTCATGAAGCCAGTTGAATAAAATCTAATTATGAGACGACAATAGATCTTTACAGTCCCGTTATCTCCCGCCCGCATTAGAAGATGCCTAATGCCATTGATGCGTAAGAGATTAGTTGTGCGTAGAATGGGGCCCTTCTGTGCCTCCTCTTTGTCCCGAATGAAATATTCCAAATATTCGGAAATGAATTCGGAACGCTTTCCAGATTGAGTTTTTGAGGCCACGCGGGCTTTCGGATTATGTATGCGGGGGCCCTCGTTGACGAATATCTTAAAATTAAAATGCCTGGAACATTCCTCCCCGTTCAATTGATGTGTTTTTTTTCTGTTCAAAACGGCACGTTTTTTTCACAGATGCCACCGACAAGCCGGAAATTTTCCATTGAGTGAGGAGGGTGTGAAAAGCAGATAGTTACTTGTTGAAACTAATGAGTTTTTCGGGTTTTTAGGCCGTTGTTCGGTAGAATTTCTTCTTGATGTTTCGCAAGCACGAGTGGCTTGCATCTTCAGAAGTGGTTTGCTTGAACGCTTACACTGTTCTCATCAGAAC